TACTCTTCTTTTATCTATGTACTTGGAAAGATTCAATTTATACTCATACTTCGAAAACCCGAGACAATCCGGGACAAAAGATTATATGTCCGGGACAAATATTGCTTAAAAAAAAACCCGGGACACAAGGTGGAAATATGGAGCTGTCCCGTCCGTATGGTCACCTTAGTTATAATCAAATCGGAATCAAGCTTTATAATTTAGTATAATGAAGTTAGAATCAAGCTTTAAAATTCGCTTGATTCTAATTATAAGTTAGTCTAACTTGATTATAAATCAAATTTCACATAGAAATATTACTAAAATCCTTCAATTCTTAGTGGGTTCTAATTCAATTTTTACTTGATTCATGACTAAAATCTTCTAATTTTGGTAAGATTCTAACTTGATGTATATATAATATATGTAAGTATTTTGTATTATGCATAAGTTGAAAACCCTTGCATAACCGCAGATACAAATTTAAACGAACTCATTATTTAGTTTCATGCTATTAGACATGGCACGCACATCAAACTAGGGTAAATGTTCCAAAACACATTACCCTCCAGAACACATTAATTAAATATGTGATGTACAAGATTAATATTAAAGTTGAAACTTAATAGTTGAAACATTTATTATTATTTCATTTATTTCAAACTTCTCACTTTATATAATTTGCTAAGTATACGTTTAATAGCTTAAGTTATTATTAGATAAAATATTTGTATTTTGAATAAAGATCAATCTAGAAAAGTTAATAAAAGTTGTTTTTAAATTACTTCATTAGCTTTTTACTAAATTTTTGGGTACCAGAAAACTTTTTGTTATATATCTTTTACCATCCCTTCTATTTTGTAAGATGTTATACATACATATATATATATATATATATATATATATATATACTAGCAAACCCGACGAACTCCGTTTCGCCACCCGTGAGAACGATGAAGAAATTTTTTGTTTGTTTTATATTTGAAAAGGAAAAATTTGATCAGGAAGGAAAATCCAACTTATTTTTATATATACAGACTATAATCTATTTGCAATTATTTAAAACAATTATTGATTATTTTTAATTACGGTGCGTGAAGTTCCAGCAATTTGCATTAGGGAACGATGCACGCGTTCTGGAGTTATTTCGTCAGGAAGGAAAACCCGACTTATTTTTATATATATAGAAGATATATATATATATATATATATATATATATACTTCTTATAAAATAGTGTATATAAATTATTATATACACTTGCATATGGAAATCTTGAATATAACTAGTCGGAACACAGACTTTAGTATTTTGATAATTAGCAATAAGTGGCAAATTAGCAAATAAGTGGATTCGAGGTATTTTCTTACATTTTGTTAAATAACATGGAAACTTTATCTCGACACTTCAATTTATTTACATTAGTGAAAACTAGATAAAATTTACAGAAATTTAGTATCAATTATTAAATACATATACTTCTATATAGAAATTTTGAAAAAAAATAGGCAAAACGCACACTTTAGTAGTTGATAATAGCATTAAGTGGACTTGGGACATTTTTTTTACATTTTGTTAAATAGCATAAAAACTTCATTCTAGACCCTAAAATTTGGTATAAATTATTATATATACCTGCATATTAAAATTTGGAATAAAACTATTCGGAATGCATACTTGAGTGTATTGATAATTAGCAATATGTGGATTTGGGATTTTTTTATATTTTGTTGAATAACATAGAAACTAGCCACTTCAATTTATTTACATTAGTGAAAACTAGATTAAATTTACTAAAATTTGGAATAAACTATTATATACACTTAAACATATAGTTAAAAATCGACGAAAATCAGAATTGAACCATACATTTGAAATTACTGAAAATTTTTGAAATTCAAATTTAAGGGTCTTACGACTTTTTAGCGTATTCCTTCTGCCGATTTTGTATTTACTGTATTCCTCCTGCTTAAAAAAAATCATCACAAATCACTCAAGTAAAAAAAATACTATTTTTTAAGATTATCTATCGTTTATATAATTTGCGCCTTCGCATCAACTGCCTCCCAAGTCTTAATATTATTACTCCGACTGAAGCGGCGTCAACCTTTCGACGTCTTATATCGTAAAGAGCACTCGGTTGAATTATTCATGGATTTTCTAAGTTCAAAACATTCCAAGAGACATTCTTCATAGCAAAAAAAAGAAAAACAAACACACCTAATTTTAGGTATAGTATATCATGAAAACAGAGGAAAAGTGAAGAGAATAAACTACAAGAAAATAGTCAACTGACTTAAATAGAACTAAAGAAAAATTGTACACTAAGAAGGTATTTGCATTTTTCAATATGGTACATTTAAGCACAAACACTAATATTGACAAAACGTAAAATAATCACTATTATCATCATTATTATTACGTACAGTAAAGTACAGTATACTATCTAATCAAATGCTGTCGTGATTCATAGCAAAAACTTCTAATTTTGACTAAGTTTTAGGTAGATTTTAGCTTGATTATAACTTCATTTCGACATAATTATAACTAACAGCTTCTGATTCTAACGAAGTGGATTTTGACTACACTCTAAGTTGATTCCAACTTTGTTCTAACTTTGTAAATTGATTCTAACTAGATCCTAACTTGATTTCTACTTGATTACAATTAAAATTTCTAAAATAAAATAGCAATTATCTCAAATTTATGGATACTACGTTACACGGTATAGTCTATAGTCGGTTGGAAAATTTTTTAATTTGCAATAAAATATTACTTAAGTTTCCAGAAACGATTCTCTAAGATATGAACTAAAATTAACGCAATATTATAGAGATTTTACTTCTACTTTAACATACTAAATTGCCAACTGAAATAATGAAATAAAATTTTTGACAAATTATACTGAAGAAGTATTATATATTATAAATATATTTATATTTATATTATATATATATATATATATACAGGGCCGGTCCTGGGGTCCTCAGCGCCCGCATGCAAGATTTGTTCTAGCGCCCCCCCCCCCAATAATTTCAACTGTTTTATCAGTTTTTCACTAAAATTATTAGGTTGTCAAATATCTCCCTTCCGCTTTTTTGCTCTTGGTTCATAATACAAAAAGGCGGAAGGGAGATATTTGACAACCTTATATATAAACATTTACTTTATTTTTTTTAATTAATTTTTAATCATTCTGGATTTAGTACACAAAAATTTAGATGTAATCTAAAATATACATGTATAAAATACATTGATTTTAAATTTATTTAGAAAATCGAGGCCATTTGCGGGTTGATCATAATCAAATATTTTTAAATCCTCAATTATTTCTAACGTAGGTGTAATATTAATATTCTGGTTTTAAAACATTTAACTTATTTATTATGCGATTTATTCTATAGAGCAAATCACGCCAAAAGAGCAAAAAAAGAATAGTCTTTAATTTTTAAACATAACATTCGAATTTTATGTTTTAAATTAAATTTTATTTTAATTTATTTTTTCATTATTCACAATATCCAAAATTGCATCGTAAACTTCTCCTTATTGGTATCGTAAGGGTCCTATTTTATTCAGCTTTACTTTCCCATCAGATTCAGAATAACAGATTGTTGTTTTAAAGTTGAACTTTTAACGTATTTTTAAAGTATTGTCCAAAATTAGTAAAAGATGCAAAGAAATTACATATTCCCTTAACTGTATTGAAACAAACAAATTATATTTGTATCTGTATCATTTCTGGATAGTTAATAATTAAATTATGTATAAAAAAAGCTCAAAGATTTTTGTTCCTAAGTACTTGATTATTAAAGATTTTCTTGGTCAATACACGACCTATGACACGAAGTATATTTTCGAAACAGTAGTTTCATTATTTGTTAAAATTGGAGATAAAGATGATAATTATAATTTGATTATTAACAAAATGAACGAATTGTTCAATTCACGACCTATGAGACAAAGTATATTTTCGAGGCAGTAGCTTTATTATTTGTTAAAATTGGAGAAAACGATGATTATTATATTTTGAATATTAAAGATTTTCTTGGCCGATTTACGACCTATGACACGAAGTATATTTTCGAGGCAGCAGCTTCATTATTTGTTAAATTTGCAGAAAACAATGACAATTATAACTTGATTATTAAAGATTTTCTTGGTCAATTCACGACCTATGAGACGAAGTATATTTGCGATGCATTTATTGCAACATTTGTTAAATCTACAGAAAACGATGATAAATATAACTTGGTAATTAAAGATTTTTTTGGTCAATTTACGACCTATGAGACGAAGCATATTTTCAAGCAGTAGCTTTATTATTTCTTAAAATTGGCTTTCATTTTTCATATTTGCTCCATTTCCATAACATTCATCAGAAGCAAAACCCATTTTTTATTTTCCCGATTATAATTTGTTTATATTTTTTAACAAGTTCCGTTTTAATTAAATCAGCTCGCAATTTTTCGTCAATAATGCCCAATAGTTAATTTAATCTTTCGCAGGTTTGAGCTTATGGGATTGAATACTAGATAATTTCTTTATCGATTCCACGGTAACTTCAAATAAAGAAAATATTTAATAAGTAGATCAAGCAATGAACATAGCTGTTATTTACTAATTTGCAGAGTTATTAATCGGTTAATTGTTTCTACTGATATCACATTGCAAAATATATGTGAATAAATGCTTTTTCTGTCTCCGTATCCCTAGTTAAGTTAGATTGTTTATTATAATTTATTATGTATACTAGATTTTATATAAATAATACTAGATTTTATATAAATAATTCTAGATTTTATATAAATAATTCTAGATTTTATATAAATAATTCTAGATTTTATATAAATAGTTTTAGATTTTATATAAAAAATATAAATATTATATTATAAATTTAATTTTCCAAACTCGTTTTGGCGCCCCCTAAGGCGTGCGCTCGCATTTTTTGCATGCATCGCATGCAAGGCAGGACCGGCCCTGTATATATATATAACATGTTAAAAATATGTAAAAACTTACCTGAAAACTCTATTACTAATTAGCAACTATAGAAAAATCCTCATTCGCTCAATAGTCCATTTTCTGAAACAAATACACTGCAATTAGCGATAAATAATTATTTTTAACAAAAAGTATAATTTTGAGCAAAAAAATAAAAATGTGGAGTGATGGGATAATGCAATGCTTAATTTAAGATGATATAAAATCACATATATCAACTTTCTGTGAAGCTCATGTAGTAATGAGATATAATTTGCCAGCGCTAAGTAAAATTAGTCATTTTTATATCTATTTTTGCAATGAAAATGAAATGAAATTCATCATTATGGTTTATTTTGAACTATAACAAACTTATTGATTGGCACATCATAATAAAAATTATGACACCAGTCGTTCTAATTTCAATTATAACAGGCGTTCAAATTTGTTTTTATAAACATTTTTAACTTCCCGTAGGGTAAGTTATAGTAATCGCAAAAAAATCGAAAATGAAAATTTTTATATATCTTTACGTTTCAGAGGTTTCTGAACATTTTGGCATACCTTAGAAAAAATGGATGTATGTGTGTGTGTGTGTGTGTGTGTGTGTGTGTGTGCGTGTGTGTATGTATGTGCGGATACAAATTTTCGTCGACGATTTCGGGAACACGGATCAACCGATTTGAATAATTCAAAAAACATTCGATTCGTATTGATAAGGAGACGTGCTGATTAGTTTTTGGCGAAGGCAGGTCTAGCCGTTCCGGAGATACGGGGCAAAAAGTGCCGAAAACCGTAACTCAGTTTTTAAGAGAACGGAGCGTACGATTTTAATAATTCAAAAAACATTTTACTTGTATTGATAAGGTAAAGAATTGATCATATTTTCATAAAGGCAGGTCTAGCGGTTTCGGAGATCTAACGAAAAAAGTAGAAAAAAATGCCATTTGGCGGTCAAAAATGATCATTAGACATATGCACATCAAATTTTCAGATATTTTATAGAGATTTTAACAATAAGTATAAATTTTGTTTATTTTCCTATGGGTTCCGTATCAATGTTTACCCGTTAGACAGCGACGCCGCGCTTACGCGCTTTATATTTTGTCTCTATGCAGTTAAAGCAGCACGATTGCTTTGAAAAACAAGTTCAGATCTTCCAAAATATGTCAAAATAAAGAAAACATTTTTTTTTTCAAAACAAAAAAATTTAAAAAAAAAATTTTTTTTTAAAAATTTAAAAAAAAAATTTTTTTTTTCAAAAAAAAGTAATTTTTTGTCCAATTTATAGTTTCTCAAAAATCTTATTTTTTCGAAGTAAATTTTTTTCAAAAATGTTAATCGTTTTTAAAAAAAATAATAATTTTTGGTACGGGAAGTTTCAGCAATTTGCCTTAAGGCACGATGCCCTAATTGCCTTAAGACAGAATTCCACTTACAGCTAGTTTTATTATATTTTTAACAGCAAGCTTACGTCCTATGAGCTGATGGGCTAAAACTTCTCCTTACTTCGTATTTTGTAGATGGTAACCCAATGGTTAATCCATCCATATTTGATGATTTTTGATATTAGAATTAATCTAATAAGGCTGACTTTTTATTGGTGCAGCAATGCCGGGCAAGGGCTACTTTAACTTGAAAACATATTGCTATTTATATTACCAAGTGAAAATCGTTGTCACTGTTGCCTGACAACATGCTGCTCGAAGTGGGTATCGAACCCGGGATCACTGATTCAGGTCCCGTCGCTCTTAACCGCTTACCTACGGGCGAGCCCATAAATAAAAAATAACTTAAGAATATTCCATATAATTGTTTCCGACTTATCTTTCTTACAAAAAATAATTTAGTGTAAACAGATATGATATAGAAAATTAATTTTCTTCAATTTTTCAGCAACACAAAGCCCATAATTAGGTCAGCTCACATAAGCGTTTAAGTGATTTTCCACATCAAAGAAGTCACAGAGTTATTATTTCGCATCTGTATCAAGCAAGCATCGTCTCTTTTGATCTTTCTTATCAATTTTTACAGTAGGGAAAACCGTAGCAAGGAATTTCAACTTCGAAATTATAAATTTACTGGCGTTTAGCAAATTCTTGCAATTCAGGAAAAACGACGTTTTACTTTGTTTACAAAATTAGAAAACTGTTTATTCAAAAAAATTAAAGAATTTATGAGTATAATAGAAGGTAAAGTTGAACTCGTTACAACTTTATCTTTTGAAAAAATATTATGGAATGTAAAACGAAACATTTTTGATATAATTGATAATTACCATGATATTGTCTTTTGCTTTATGTGTTTAAGTTCAATAATGAAAAAAAAAAATGAAGTAAAATGTCTAATGAAGAGTATATTGATTCATTCGTATTCACAGAGTTTAACATGGTTTAATCACAAAACCATACCTTCACAAGTGTTTTATTTATTTTATTTTATTTATTTTAATATTAAAAAAAGTTCTATAAATATTAGTATACATGTACTTCTTATGTGCCTCGTTTAAATTATTTGTATGCACTGAAGATGACTCAAACCAGGGCTCGAAAATTCTAATAAAGACATTCTTCTTCAATAATTAACTTTCCGTAGGCTAAGGAAGCGTCCATTAATCGCGTGATCGGTTTTTTAAGGAAAGTTGGACCTCCTCTCTCCCTACGTGATTTGTGATGATATTCAACATTAACTCCCCCTCCCCCACCAAACATCACGTGCATTTTTAGTTACGAAAAAATTGTAAATTTAATTTTTTTTTAATCTATTTATTTAAATTTAAATTTTTTTTAATTAAGGTAAAAACGTGATATCTTACTATATCCTTCTCTCCCTCATTTGATATTTCGTGATTTTTTGTCAAACCCTTCCCATAAGAACCTCACGTGATTAATGGACACGCTCTAAGTTATGATAATCGCAAAAAAAAACGAAAATATTTTTTTTTGCATATCTTTACGTTTCAGAAGTATCTTAATTGGGAGATGCGCTGATTAGTTTTTGGCAAAGGCAGATCCAGCCGTTCCAGAGATATGAAGCAAAACGCGCAAAACAATCAGATTTTGAGAGCATTGGAATGATTAGGGTAAATTATACAAAAAAAACGGAAATAATTTTTTTGCATATCTTTACGTTCCAGAAGTTTCTGAACATTTTGGCATACCTTAGAAAAAATGTATGTATGTATTTGTGTGTGTAAACGTTTGTTTGGATACAATTTTTCGTCCACGAAATCGGGAGTTGGGATCAAGCGATTGAAATCATTCAAAAAGCATTCAATTCGTATTAATTGGGAGATTTGCTGACTAATTTTTGGCAAAGGCAGGTCCAGTACCGTTCCAGAGATATGAAGCATAAATTGCAAAATAACCAGTTTTTGAAAGAACTGCACATTTGATTAGAATGATTCAAAAAACAATCGATTCGTATTGATTAAGTGAATAATTGATTACATTTTTGCATTCGATTAGGGCTATTTATAAAGCACATTGCTTGTGTTGACGGTGTATGTTTAAGTTTTCGTTCTTGTAGATTTTTTTTTAATAATTTATTACCTTGGCATCTGTTCTTGTAGATAAACGAGAAGATGCGAATAGATAAATGTCGTCGGCCAAATAAATATCACTTTTATGAGAGATGTACATAATATAAATTATGATTTTACAATATTTGTATTTTAAAATATTTAAAATAATTGTTATTATTCATTGATAAATTTTTATTGATGATTATTTTCATTTTGCAAATGTTTTATTACTGTACGGAAAGTTCCAGCAATTTGCCTTAAGGCACGATGCTATGCACCACAAGTCTTTTTAACTTCCCGTATCGAAAATGAAAATTTTTATATATCTTTACGTTTCAAAACCTTCTGAACATTTTGGCATACCTTAGAAAAAATGGATGTATGTGTATGTGTGTGTGTGTGTGTGCTTGTATGTGTGTGTGTTCGGATACAAATTTTCGTCGACGATTTCGGGAACACAGATGAAGCGATTTGAATAATTCAATAAACATTCGATTCGTATTGATAAGGAGACGTGTTGATTAGTTTTTGGAAAAGGCAGATATAGCCGTTACGAAGATATGGGGCAAAAAGTGCCAAAAACGGTAACTCAGTTTTTAAGAGAACGGAGCGTCCGATTTGAATAATTCAAAAAACTTTTTTCTTGTATTGAAAAGATGAAGAACTGATCAAATTTTCATGAATGCAGGTGTAGCGGTTTCGGATATCTAGTAAGAAAAATTTAAAAAAAAATGCTATCTGGCGGTCAAAAATGACCATTAGACATATGCACATCAAATTATCAGATATTTTATAGAGATTTTAACAATAAGTATAAATTTTGTTTACATTCTTATGGTTTCCGTACCAATGTTTATCCGTAAGACGGCGACGCGGCGCTTACGCGCTTTGATATTTCGTCTCTATGCGGTTAAAGCAGTACGATTGCTTTGAAAAAAAATTGAAAAATTTGAACAAAGTAAATTTTTGTCAAAAATGTATAGTTTCTCAAAAATCTAATTTTTTCAAAAATGTTAATCTTTTTAAAAAAAAAGTAATTTTTCGTACGGAAAGTTCCAGCAATTTGCCTTAAGGCACGATGCCATGCGCCCCACTAGTTTTATTATTGGATGGATTCCCAAGAACATTCCATCGTATATCTTTCACCACCTGGTAAACCTCTCAATTATGTTGTATGTATGTAAATGTATATATGTATGTGTGTATATATAGATATTCATTTATTTATTTATATACATACCGCACCAAAATATTTTCCTACCCGCGCAATGCGCACGTGTAAAACATGATCGAGCACGTGTCCGCAATATCTTCATTGAGAAACATTCAATACATTGCTTATGGGATAGCGATATTTGATGGTGCATAAAGAATTTTCTATGACAGAAAATCGATCCCGCATTTATTTATGAGTTCAATGGAAATTGTCTGTGACGGCGACTGCCGAAAGAATTTGTCACGTTTTCCGATAATTTGCAACAATTATAGCGTGCTTAAATAAGGTATAACAAATATACATAATGATAATAGCCCATAATAATACCTCAAGATGCGAGTATTCTAATTAGTATCATCACAATAAGGATACATAGTAAGTAAGGATACATAATAATTACACAGGCATTGTTGCTTGTTAATTACCTAAATTGATTGTAGCAAGATTGTAGCAAAAGTTTAGCAATATTTTAGGAAGATTTTAGTTGTAATCAAGTTAGATTAAAGTTACAGTCATGTCAGAGTCTAAATAAAAATCGTGTTGGAATCAACTCAGAAGTTAATAACAATGTAATTGAAACCAATTTTGAATCCAACAAAAATTCTACCAGGATGTAATATATATCAAGTTAGAATCTTATCAATATAATATCAATATCATTAAGGAACTAATTGGAATCTTACAAGAATATAATTTGGACTTTATAGGAACTTAACTTAAGAATCTGATTAGAATGTTGTTGGAACTTAATTGAAACAAGGTTAAAATCTTAAAACAACTTAATAAAATTCGACTTGTAATCTAGTTGCAATGTTAGACAAATCTACTTAGTATCTGGTAAGAATCTAATTAGAATAAAATTGGAGTCTTATTTCAATTCAACAGGAATCGAGGCTAGAGTATATAGAGAATTTTTAAAAATCGAGTAATACGAAATTCAAATTTTGACTCATCACATAACAATTTAAAAACATCTACTTTTACTAAAACAATTTCTATTTTAACATTTTTAATCAGAGATCATTTATGATCCGTTTTTTTAACTATAATTTATCATGATTCAAAAATCAGTTCAATTCACCATATATAACTGATTTATAAACTATGATTTATTATAGTTCAAAAATCAGTTCAATTCAACATATTAGGTTGTCAAATATCTCCCTTCCGCTTTTTTGCTCTTGGTTTATAATACAAAAAGGCGAAAGGGAGATATTTGACAACCTTATATATAACTGAAAGTTATTTAAGTTTATTCAGAACAAATTCAGTTATCTTATGTTTATCTTACTTAAGTCAGTCTATATAATTACGGGCACTATTTTTATTTATAAAACTCATACTTATTTGTAAGACTGCAAAATATATGTAAGCTGGCAATGAGAATATAAGAATATATGTCAAAATAGAAATAGTCAAAAATCGAAATTTACGTACGGAACTAAATTGTTTATTCGATATAATTCAAGTTAAGTTCAACATTTTATTATATATTATATCGCGGATATCTACCATCTACTAATAATAATAAAAGATACGAAACAACTGCGTACATAGCCAGCAACCATATTTTTGCAAAATTCTCTTTACATACAACATTCCCAATGAATCGAAAAATATAATTCAATTGCAAATAGAATATGGTTAAACATACCTGTTATATGTGTCCAGTCGAGTTTTGTATATTCTTAAATATATATCAAAATAAATATTTGTATACGGCACAAATCAACAACTCATTCACCACTAGTTGCTATCACTTGACATTTGAGCCAATGTTAGGAAAATACGTACAAGGCGTTAACTTTTCCCTTTCGGTTCGGTCCGGGTTTGTTCGTTCCGAGTCGGAAAAGTGGGTAGAATTGGAGTGAGATTTTTACCCTCTTGACTGCACGTGTACTGTTTGTACTGCTTCATCAACAAAAGTCGATATCAAAGGATTTTACTATGATTTTACCTTATTACTGTCATATTTAACTGCCTAATTTTAAATTAAACAATATATTGCAGTAAAAACTGAAACACACAAGTTAGTTGTAATTGGCATTTTGCCTTAAGGTCAGTTGCATGAACATCCCGATACGTGTAAATAGTCGACTTAATCAACAAAAATTATAATTAGCTATTTAGATAAAATGTTTATTTCGAAAATAAATATTTCGCTTTCATTCAAAACGATTTCCAATTTAGATCTTTGAATGATTTTACTTACTAATTCGAATGGCTCAAGCGCGCGCCGTAATTCTAAACTTTAATGAATTTTAATTCAACAGCTTCCTTAAGCTTCTAATATTTCAGTATGTTATTTCATACTACGAAATCTATCGTCGTACGAAGCTTCGAAGAAACGGTCCAGCCGATCGTTTCCAAAAACTAATCAACTCGATTCCCAACCAACATCTTTCGAACAGTTTTAAAATCGATTCATGATTGTGAGCCAAAAATTTTACACTGTTCTGTTAATTAAAAAGAAACGGCTTGGCCGATCGTCGCTCAAAACTGATAAACGCTAGTCCTTATTGACTTACATAGAATGGCTTTAAGACGAAAGGTCAATAATCGGCTCTTATACACATAAATTCCAAATTTGGTTTTATTACATTGACTGACTGAAACTTAAAAAAAAAAAAAAATTAGCAATTGGAATACCCCTGCCTTATTTAGTTAATAAGATGTTATATCGAAAGTGCATTTTGCATATTTATAATTAATAGAAATAAAAATATATGTTTATAGTTGATTCATGATTATTTTGCACTCAAAATACACCAGCAATATGTACATTTATGCAAAAAAATAATATAAAATCACTTTCACAGTTAGAAATTTATTTTTGTAATACATAATCTATATGAATGTGTCTCTGACGACTGACCAATTTATTACAAAAAATTTATGTATTGGTTTTCGTGAACTAATTTTTGCATACCATTATACACAAAACCTGCTTTTGCTCAGAAAAAATAAATAACAAATGGTCATTATATACATATATTTAAAATAAAATGATTTGCATAATTCTAATTACGATACAAAATTAATAGATTAAAATTAAATACTAGTACAATTACAAAACTGGCTTCAGAGTGCACCAAAGCAGCAATCCAGCTATAACCTGCAGAAATGCCACACAATCATTTTTAATTAAACTGCAGGTACAATATCTGGCTGCACATGGTTGAAGAAATGAATTAAAATAACTTCATCACTGGCATCTTCATTTATCGTCCTTCAACTGCAAAAAAAAATTACAAATGTTTATAAATATACATTTAACTATAATGTGCATGTTTTTACAACTAAGTTTCGTCAAATTCATTTACATAGATTTAACTGTTCTCAAAATAAACTCAACTGTAGCACTACTCAAATTACAGATTTAAGGCTACAGATTAATGGTACGAAACTTTTCATCAAACAAATCAAGAAAATAATAATATACATACTATAAGAAGATAAGTCTATTTCTTCTGGCAATTCAGTAATGTTGACATCAAATCGATCTTGAACTTCATTTAATATTCTAGCATCTGATTCATCTGATACAAATGTGATTGCCAAGCCTTTGGTACCAAATCTTCCTGCTCTTGCAACTCTGTGCAAGTAAGTATCTGAATCTTCAGGCATATCATAGTTAAATACTATATTCACTCTTTCAATATCCATACCACGACCAAAGAGATTTGTGGCCACCAAAATTCGCTAAAACAAATTTTAAAACAAGTTAAAATGCAGGCTAATTTGTGAATGTGACAATGTTAATTTGAATTTTTATATCAGATTTTATAAAGACAAATCGTCAATTAATTTCAGATGTCCCTATCTAAAGTATCATCATAATTGATAAAATTTGCATTGATTAAAATAAATTGGTTTTTACCTTATGAAAATCTTTAAATTGTTGATATCTAGATAACCTTTCTTCTTGTGTCATCCCTCGATGAATTCCAATGGCAGGAAAATTTTGCTCTGTTAATAATTGGGCTAAGGCCATGCAACGCTGCACTGACTTGACAAATATAACAACCTGAAAAAGTATATTTTATAAAAGATATGCACAACAATAAAGTACATCAACAATACTGTAATATGATGTATAGTCCTGATTTGCTGAAATCAGTTTTAAAGAATCAAATATGAAGCATCACAAGTTTAAGTTCAAAAATTGCCCTTAATCATAATATAAATTTATGTTCATACCTGGTTAAACTCAAGAACATCAAGTAACTCAAATAATTTCCTGTTCTTTTCATTTTCTTTTAGCTTCAAGTAATGTTGTTGAAGGCCATGAAGTGTCAACTTAGCTTCATCATCAACATAGACTTCCATAGGCTACAAATATAACAAAAACATGGATATGGTTAAGGCAAGAAGACCAGATAGAAGATTCATAAAAAAAGAAAAAAAAGTTTCACGTTGGCTTCTATTGGTCTTCAATTAAAAAACACAACTTGATTATACAAACCATAAGACTGAAGATAATATTCAATATATTTCATACAAGGATAAAAAAAAGTTGAAACAAAAAATTATGTAATTGCCATTTATTAAAAAAAAATTATTTGAACTAAATTAAATTTAAATGAGACAAACTGATAAAAAACTTCTGCAATTTTAATTTTTCGAAAAATTAAAATATGATACTCAAAAATGCAAGTAGATAGAAAGGATCTTGGATTTAAGATGCTTAAACTAAGTCTTTTACATACGGTTGTATTTCCACTGTGTCACAAAACTAAGTAGAAGGTGTTGAGTGGCACGATCCACCAAAAAGCTGCACGCGTTCTTCTCAAAATTGTGATAAGCGAACAGTAACCAACTCCAACAAATGTATCACAGGTATGTTGATATTTTTATTGATAAGCCCTTTCCACATACCCCTAACAAATTTTGATGCACTGTAGCTATGCCAAAAGCAGCTAAGCCCAACCCCATTTAATTAAGAAAATTAACTAATAATTTATCTTCTTTCTTCTTGTCTTGCATCTTCTTTCTTGATTTCTTGTTAAGAAAAGCCTACACGTTGAGCTACAGTGCACTAACCACAATATTAATAAAACCCCATAATTATATTGATGGAACGGAAGCATGATTCTTTAACATTCAAGTATTTACGCGTAGGATATTAATTAAAAGTCGAATTTTATATTGAATGGACCAACATAACAGAAGCACGTGCAGCGTGAACTGAGATAACGATAGATAGAGTAAAATTTCAATTACATCTTGCATAAACTTTTTGCAAACTGGTCTCACATCCTTCCCTAATGTAGCGGAGAACATCATAACTTGCTTACTATGGGGAGTATTTCTGAATATTTCTTGCACATCTCTTCTCATATCTATAAAACAAAAATTGCATTAAATTATATGCTTCTAATAATGAAAATTAGATTTTATAAAGAAAATCAATCAGTGTAGATAAATATCATTCACAAGGATCAGATGTCCCTATCTAGCAGTCTCATCACGAATATAATTGTATTAAAGCATCGTTATTGTGAAATTAAATTTACATAAAGAATCAGAATGAAATATAAATGTAATTGTATATTGCTTATTCGAATTTGAAATTTCCACATATTAGCAATGTTTTTTTTTATTTATAACAAAACAAAATATTTATATCTTACAGTATTATGAGTTGCAAAATATTCTTACCTAAATGTTCTAACATTTTATCACATTCATCAAGAATGAAATGTTTCAAATGCTTGAGGCTCAGCTTCTTGTTGCGAACCAAAGCTAACACCCGCCCAGGAGTTCCAACAACAATATGAGGTTGACCAGCCTTTAAAACATCCTCATCTTTGGAAATATTGAATCCCCCAAAGAATACCCCAACCTTAATTGCTGGCATGTACTTTGAAAATCTCTCATATTCCTTGGAGATTTGAAAAGCTAGTTCCCGAGTATGACACATTACAAGAACACAACACTGATTTTCAGTGGGTTCTATTTGCTGCAATGTAGCCAAGACAAAGACTGCAGTTTTTCCCATACCAGATTTCGCCTGGCACAGAATATCCATACCCAATACAGCCTGAGGGATGCATTCATGTTGAACTAAAACAAAAATTATAAATTTTTACTTTCACTTTACAAATTTCAAGTATTTGAATACTTGAATCTAAAAAGTCATCCAATATTTTGAGGTATTTGATATGCACATGAAGATCAAATATTATACTTATAAAAAAAGCAAAATAAACTTTAGCAAGACTGTTAGATATTAGAATGTCATCAGCATGGTTTATCCCAATGATCTCCACCCAGAGGCTACAGAGCGAATATGGAATATGCTAATGGGTCCAAGGGACTCTTAATTTATGACACTGCCATGGGTAACCACTATGGATTAATGGCTCAACTGGCTCTTTGGACAAGAAAACTTGCCAAATAGTGTCAATAAGTAAAATATAAATCCCTATGGTTTTTTGTCTTTAGAGGTATAAGGATAAAAATAATTACCTTCAGATGGATGCTCAAAGCCACAGTCAACAATAGCACGTAAAATCTCAGGCTTCAGAAGGAAGTCCCGAAAACCAGAACTGTGAATAGACACATATGTGCCTTTCACATTGGGTCTTTGTGCAGTATCAGTAGTTGTCTCTACCGGTAATTGCTCAGTCTGTTCTTCATCTTCGTAATCCAAAAGATCATCATTGTCAGCCATTTTATGGTTTTAAACTGAAATATGAAAACATTATATATTGAATATATTGAATTCAAATATTTGTGAATGTGCGATGTATTTACTAAATTGTATCTTCGAGGAAAACAGTCAATGGCACGATAATTATAAAACAATATATCACAACAAATTACGAATAGAACAAAACTATTAGTAAAACTGGGTGTTCTAAAAAGGGTAACCTCCTAAAGAGTTTTCGCTGTTACATTCATGTTACCCCTCAAGGTCAGTCTAAACATAAAACCCAAAATTTTCCACGGTACAAAAAATTTGTTAAACTTATAGTAAAACTAGCAAACAGATAAATAGCACTCGGGAATATAAGAATATGTAATAATATAAGTAAAATGCACACGAGGCTAACTGACCCCAAAACCCGGTTATTGACGAAATTTACGTTAACTGAGTACTTACTAATACAAAATCACACACACAAATAGAGACTTAACTAAATATAATATTAATTAACTTTCATAAATCACAAATACGATAATTACTTACATTTAGCGGAATTTCTAATATAATATGCACGCCGCGTCGCTTACGAAGCACAAAATGGCGATCGGTGCAGCTGAAACAACAAGCCACTTTCCCGCTTATTACTACTTTCACATCACTACCAACATGCGACTCAAAATAATTATTACTCGTTATCGTTAGCAAACCTGAAATTTAAACGTTATTAACTTTTCCTGCATAACTCTTTCGAAAAGCTATATGATCGTTTAAAATTCTAATAATTTGTTTGAATATGTGAATTCTAGATAAAATAATGAAATTTATAGCTTATATCAATATAATGTTTTAAGATGTCTACTAGCAAAACAAGTTTATAGTTTGAGCAACTATTTTATACTAACTTTATTTCCAGAATATTTATAAATTATTTTATATTATCTATTATTATCACAAATTGTTCTCAAGTATCCACATATTTTTGAAACAACAATTTTATTGCAATCGGGGTGTAACCTCCTCTGTCTCAGTAATCACTCCCTGTGCATCTTTATGAATAGTTTTGGTATAAGTTTCTTGTTGCTTTTGTATTGTAATTGTAGTTTCTTCATTGCCACTGGAATCTCTAACTGTTTTATGCATTTCAACACTCTGAAAATATGAAATAAAAAATGCAATATGTATTATATAATACTCATAATACAACATATCTATGATGTTTCATCATATTTATATTTATAATTTTACCCCATCAGGTCGCATAATAGTTTTTGACATCATAGATTGTCCAAAGTTGAACCCAAATATTCCCCTTTTTCTTTTCTCATCTTGGTAAGGAATCAGATTACTTGTACCTTCTTGTTCACTGGAAGAGTTTCTTTTCAAAAAGCTATCTAATTGTTGTCCATAAAGCCTGTACAAATAAAGGAGAGATAGTTTAAGATAAGTGCATATAGCATTTGTATAATGCTTACTTTAAAAATATAAAATATGAGAAAAAGTTTATATAATTTTTTTATTTTTGCCACACACATATGCATTTCTAATTTTGTATATATGATGGTATAAGTATATTTGCATATATGATGGTCGCATATTATTTTATGATAAATATATGTCCTTGCTTTTATACTTAAATTAACTTACTGTCCATCCAAATCTGAGTCAATTGATTCATTCTGATTGTCTCTCCTTGTTAAGTTTTCATTGATGGTTTCATAACCAGGTTTCAAGAATTGATCCCGCAAACTTTTGTGTCCAGAAAATTGATTATCACCAATAACAGGATTATCCCACCCTTCTATAGGTATATTGTGCTCAAAAGTAGGATTCATACCTTTAGTCAAAAACAAGCAATAAAATATTTTCTTCAAATCTGATGTCTGATACTAATAATTATGTTTGTGATAGAATTAAGTATACAATTAAAAAATTGATAATATATTTGTGACAAAATTAAACATACAACCAAACAGTAATCTTTAAAAATCCTTTATCTACTTTCTACGTAATTATATTTTATATTTCACAGTTAAGTTAAATAAAAAATATATATATTCAATATAGTTCTGTACTAGGTTTTGATGGTGAGTTACTATTTGTTAACTACATCCTGGAAACCTAAAATAAATGTGCTTTGATCCAAGCCATTTGTATATTTCAGAATTTGTCAAGTTACTAATTTTGAATGGACACAAAGTATGATTTTATCTCCAGGACGAATCCATGCAGGTCATTGGAGTGATTATGGAGTCTTATACAGCTTGAAGATATTACTCTGTCTATCCCATATATAGAAGCATAAATAAGATTTGTTTTTCATGTGAAGAAGAGTTGTTTGAAAAAAGCTTTATATAAACACAAAAATAGGTAGAAAAGGATTGCATGCTTGGAACTTTGTTTAGTAGCAAGACAAGAAAACATGATAAATGATCCATGAGGTATGCAAAATCCATTAGCTGAATGCAGTTAAAAGGGTAATATCCGAATTTGATTAAGAAAATAAATGTATCCATAGTTTTAAAAATATGGCCATTACCAAATATTGGAACAGCTGTTTAAATCTGATAAAAAAGATATCAAACAGGTTTTTAGTTTTAAAAACATTTATACAAGTTCAGTACTTTTTGTTGAACAGATTAATACTATGAAATATTTTATTTACCGAATGAACGATTCAATTACAATATGAATCATTTTCATTACATTATTTCCAAATAATATTAAACAATTATTCATCAAATGCCACATTATCTTAAAAACTGTTCAAAATTCATAAGACCAAGATATTGTGAATAAAACATCAATGATGAACTAAAATTGTGTTAGGTGATTCATGCTATCCATATTGCATTTTGAATCTTGCTCATAGTTTATTCACTGGCCCTTTAAATATAATTTAGTTTTACATGTTTTATCCAATAATACAAAAGAATTAAATTATTAATATTTACCGAAAAACAGTGAATCAGACATGCCAGAGTGAAAACTTCTAATGAGATGATTCATTTGCTGCTCAAAATATCTTTGCATTTCTAGAGGACTACTGAAAATATTAAAACCAAAGTTTAGCCCATTTCTTGAATCGGAATGCAATTCATCATCAGTGTCATCGTCATCGTTATTCCAGATTGGATTCCGAAAACTATTACTCGGGGTTCCTCTAATGTAAAAAATATTGCGTCATTTCTTAATTGAAAATTAATCGTACAAATATTATGTGATTTATACCTCTCATCGTTGTATCGGTTATTCGGGTATCTGAAAAATCCTCTTAAAAATTCAAACATATCCATTTTTGACTTGCTGAATAAAATTTAATGTAATCTAAACTTATGATTTGATTTTGACAGGCTTGTTTTGATACGACTAACCATTCTAAGTGACACTTCACTCAACAGAGTACCATAATTTCAAAATAAAAAGTTCAAATATTTGTTTTTTTTTTGTTTAAAACTATCTAATTAGTTAAATATAAAACAATTGATAATTAAGAACCATCTTATCAGAATTGTTAATTATGTATTGCGTCTAATTTAAAACTTTGAATTTGCAGTACCACCCCGAGTACCATCATTCCAAAACCGAAAAAACCCAAGTGACATTTTAAGTTTGATGAAATATTTGTTTGGTCAAGCAAATAATTCTGTGTTGATATATCTTGTCATATTAAAAACAAGTGAACTTGTGAAAATTTGCAATTAATTTGGGTGACAATAATGAGACTTATTATATTTATATCGTGCTTGGCATCAAGTACGGTTTAAATGTACCTATAGTCAAAGGCATAATAAAAACGCTAGTGGAATTTGCACCAAGTGTTATTGTATAAAACTGCAATATGATCAATATAAAAAGTATATGTCCTTATTTTTTTGTTTATATTTTACTTTCATCTTATATAAACACTATTTTATGTATCCCGGTACCAATGAGGCGCTGTGCAAAGTTATACAACTCAATAAGTCCTCAAGCCTCGGCAGAGTACGATGAGAATGGCGATATATCAAAAGATCTGGTCGAAAATACTACTTACACAGGTGTAGAACAATGCACAAGTAATTTTTGTTACTCTTTGTGGCGGGAAGATGAAAACGGTACTCTACATGTTATGGGTCAGGGTTGCTGGGTAAGCTCAGATAAAGAAGCTAGTTGTTACCAAAATGAATGTATCTCACATGGTCCTTCTTCTCAAGCATTATCATACACAAGATTTTGTTGTTGTTCTGGTGATTTGTGCAATAAAAATATGTCAACGGAAAGTTTTCCTTTGATTACAACAGATATTCCGATGATTTCTATTGATCAAAACATTTCACAGGATGTGAACTTTGATAGCTTAACATTGTACATAAGTATCATTCTGGCAACAATATTGTTTTTAATCACAGCTGGTTTTATAATTTATAAATATAAGAGTCAAGAAGTGGCGACATACACAGCTTCATCTGGACCTGGCTATAGTTCCAATTTATATAATGTGGACAATTTGAAATTAGTTTCCATGGTAGGTAAAGGACGATATGGAACAGTTTGGCGTGGTTCAATTAATGAAGAACCTGTTGCTGTAAAAATATTTCCAGCACATCACAGAAACTATTTTTTAAATGAAAGAGATCTATATTGTTTGCCAATGATGTCTAATCCTTCTCTTTTAACTTATTATGGATGTGATGAACGCTCAACCATGGAAGGCATACCTGAGTATTTACTAGTTTTGTCATTAGAGACAGGAGGCTGTTTACAAGACTATCTTAAAAACAATATTTTACCTTGGGATGTATATTGTTCTATGGCTCAAAGCATTGTCCGAGGTATTGCTCATTTGCATACAGACATTAGGAAAGGAGATTTGCTTAAACCTTGCATTTGCCATAGGGACATAAACAGTCGTAACGTTCTTGTAAAATCGGATCTTACCTGTTGTATTTGTGATCTAGGTTTTGCTGTTAAAACATGGGGACCGCGATATGAGCACAATGGTGAGCAACAATTAGCAGAGACAAGAAGTATTAATGAAGTCGGTACATTACGCTATATGTCTCCTGAAATATTAGAAGGTGCAGTGAATTTGAGAGATTGTGAATCTGCCTTGAAACAAATTGATATTTATGCCTTGGGGCTTGTCCTTTGGGAACTGAGTACTCGTTGTAGTGATTTTTATCCAGCAAATTTTACAATTCCTGAATATTGTGCTCCTTTTGAGAAAGAACTGCCTTCTCATCCTAGTTTTGAGCAAATGCAAGTTATGGTGTGCAGACATAAAACAAGACCTGTTTTTCCACCAGGTTGGGGCTGTATAAATTCTCAAGCTTCTAAACTAGCAAAAGAAACTTGTGAAGACTGTTGGGACCATGATGCTGAAGCAAGACTCACAGCTTTATGTGTAGAAGAAAGATTATTTGAACTGGCCTCGATTAAACCAAACAGACTTCAAAACACAGTCAGTAGCCCACCCTTAGATGCAAATAATTTGGTGAAAGATAAAAATGGGACTATGGAACCAGTTCATATTGAAACAGGGTATATTAGTGATAAAAACACAAATGCTTGTCCTCAAATGCAAGCGTTTCAGGGTCGGAATCCATGTTTAGAAAGAAATTTAATGGCTAGTGATCGGTATGCTGAGAATACAGTTTTAATTGAAAGAAGTCTTAAAGATGAAATTGTAGATAATTTTAATGCAATGACAAATGATTCGAACATTATGCATGTTGTGAATCAGGATATTTCTGCCATTATAGAAAATCGTCATAATTACTCAAATCATAATGAACAAGCTAGAAACAACATAGAAGATGCCTTATTGTTTCAGACAGCTACTCCTATACCATATTTACAAAATGTTGATATTAGTAAATTAACAAATGTTACTAAAACAACAAGCAGCAAATCTTCGGTATGGCAAAGCATAAAAAATTTGTTTGATCGAAATAAAATAAATATAAGATTTGATGAAACTGTTTGTGATGAAAAATCAAATTTAGTATTTAACGGAGGCGATACCACTGAAGCACCAACAGTTGACAAAACTAAGACACAAATAATAAATGCATCAAATAATGAAGTTCAAAATAGGAACTATTATGAAAATTCTTCTAATGATAATTGTAATAAAACATCGTTGAACACCTCTAATGAAAGTTCAGTTGATAGTTGGTCACCTAAAGTGAGGCCAAATTCCTTGCCTCTAGATTCCATAAAAAATCAATATTCTTCGGATAACAGTTACATTATATTAGGAGAAGAGTCATTGAAAAGCTCTCCTCGTTCAAAAAACATAAGTTTAAAGCAGAATTTGAATAGACAACATTCCCTTGAAATTTTTCATGAAGTTTTCTCATCTACTGGAGATTTAAGAAAATTGAGAGACCCCAGTCAAAGGGTTAAGACTCCAGGGGACGTACCTCCTAGCGTCAGAAGGGCTAGAAGTAGAAGAAGTTGCAATAGACTTTCATTATATGATGATAGAATGATGGTTACAATAGGCCACTCTTTGTAATTAGTTTTTTATAATTAAAATTATAATTATTAAGCTAGAATCATCAAACCACATATTAAATTGAGCTCAATCTTTAAAGGAAAGTTTTTTATTTGATTATTAGGAATAATTTTCTATAAAACACGAAATATTGACTAAAATATAATAAAAATTTGTATTATTAATAATGCCATTTCTGTGATTTTACGTTTTAGTTGAGGTTTTATGTAATAATTATCTGTGTTATTAAAATTATCTATTTTAGAAAAACATTTATTTTAGGCAAACTAGAAAAAAAATATCTCATACTATATTAAAGCTTTGAATCAGAGATCTGAAAATTTAATTCTCTTATTTTAAATAGCCTTTTGTTTGGATGATTATTTTTTATAAATTATTGTGATGCATTATTAAAATTTGAAAAAATTATCCTAGTAATAAGTGCAATATTATATAAGGTAATGTGTAGTGGGAATAACACATGATTATGATAATTAATAATTCATGTTCACAGCCATTTAGAAGTGGTTTTATCGGACAGTAAATTATTTTATTATTTAATTTGTTTAAATTTAATAAATATGTAAAACATTTAGAAAATGTTTATTTGTTGGTGTTATGTCCAATCAAACTCTTAACACTAATAAATGTAAATTGCAGTTCTTTTTTTATTCAAATTTTAGTAATATTCTTGAAATGTGCTAGGAGTCAATAAGCCGTTCATAGTTTATATTATAAAATTAAAGAATTAATATAATTTTTAGTACAAAACAATTTAATTTTATAATTTTTTAGTTTTATTTTACATTTTATGTTTCACTTTTAATTAATTATAGCTATGTAAAAGAATGTTGTATCTTTTTTTATACATTTCTTGGAATAAACTGCTGATTTAGTGCATTAGTAATTAGGGATATTATATCTTTTGTAATTGCATTTTAGCTCCGAAAGGTTGCTAGCATTTCAAGAATAGATATGAATTGATTTTAAAAATTATAATCAATAATGCTCCATTATAGATGTTAAACTTAGTAGAATATTATTAATAAGTATGATTCTTATTTTTTGTTATAAATGTATTTTAACATATTTAAATTTTACCTTGTTAGTAAAATGCGCTTTTGTGATTTATAAATACAATAAAATGAATGAAATTAGTTCTATTCGTTTCTGTAATCTTCTATTGTAATTTGAAATTGAAAGCCGAAATATAATTATCCAAAGTTTTAGCACAGATCTTTTAAAGATATTAAATTATTGAAATTTTATTTGAGATAGCCTGCGCGCTTTTGAAAATACCCAAACTTTGGTATATTATTCACTATTATATAATTTATGTTCACAAATAGATAAATTATTAGAAAATAGAAATTATATTATATTGGAAATAGAACATTATACAAATTCGAAGTTATGTTCTGTAAATAGTCCCCATTGTTCATAAATCTTACAGCATCATTTAGGGAACAAAAAAATAATACTGATATTAAATGATCTTACATATTAAAAACAAATTAATGTTTGTTTTCGTTAACTTGTTTTAAGATAGACATTTGTTATTATTGTACTCATTATATATTCGAAAGTATTTGCGCAAAGGCTGTATAAAAAGAATATAATTCCTATTATTTAGTAAAACCAGTAATTTTCCTCATTAAGAAATGAAAAAAAAAATCAAGTAATATTCATAATTTATATTAAAAATTATATACATTTTTTAAATTTACAATCCATATTTCGTCAATTTTTGGTAAATGGAATACTATTCGTATTTGTATATTGCATTTTCACAATCTAGATTTTCAACTAAATAATCTCATCCGCTATGAAAATAATTTTATACATTTTTCTTGACACGTCAGTTGCTATTCTTTCCAAGATAATCAATTATTATCATTGTTTATTGTAATATATTTTAAGATTTCTATGTCGTTGTGTACTGAAAACATTTGCGATCTGTATAATTGAAGATGTAAACTTTTCAATTATAGCATTATACGTAACTGCGAATATTCATATATATGCACACATAATATATCAGTCAAAATTTATCAAATTAATTTATAGAATTAATTCAATGACGATCAATTGCTGCAAACATGCCGACCCATGATTATTTCAATAATTTTATTGTTCTGAAGGAGGAACTTGCTTTATATCCTTCAATGAAACGCATAATGTTCAAAAGTGATATATATAATATTGATATATGTATAAAGTGAATATATATGTTATATTTGGGTATGGAATAAGAAGTTTCTTGAAGCTTCTTGTTTTAGCATTCAATTGCAAGAAAAAAGCATCTCAAGTGAAAATACAATATTAATTTAACTAACGCATTTTTGTTAAAACCTAACACAAGATAATGTAAAGAAGAAGTTATGTATATATGAAATAGTCTTCAAATTCCAATGAAAAGTGGAGCGATTTACAATCATAATTTATTTTGAGAACTATCTAATAAATTCATCAAAATTCATAAAAAGATGTCAGAAAGCAGCCCATTCCATATTTTGAATCAATAATTGTGAATAGCAATGCTGAGTTTAATTTGGGATTTTCTTTTCGAGAAGAGTTTGCTTTCTTTACAAAGGTACAAAGTTCATGAAATTGGAAAGTTGATTTGAAAACTACAAACACGAAATTTGGGTCAGAATGTTGAAAATGTTTAAAAAAGAAACATTTTGTGAAAGTATAAATACGTCTAAGTTGTTTTGTTACCCCTAAAACGTTTACGTTGATGCATTTTATAATATTTATTTATATATGCATATATAGTCTATTCACAAAAACAAGTAAATACGTTTAAAAATCGCATTAAAATATACCATTTATCATGGTCATAATATTCTATATCTTATAATAACTGGATAAATAAATAATAACAAATTTTGTGCAATATATTTGCAACATGATATCCTATTAAATTTCTTAACATTTTTTGTAAAATTTAAAATCAATGTTTGTGCAACTCATTTATTATGTGCAAAAACTATTACTTTTAATTGAAATCGCCTATCTAAAGAAACTTGCTATATTAAATTAATTAAAATGAATTATCACAAAGGATAAAAGGTTATAATTTATAACCATATCTCAGCCAACATGAAAACATTCTTATATTATTGGTCTTGTTATTCATCCAAGCTTCAAAATACGCCTATATTTATAAATTTAACACTTAATATTATATTTATATTATAGTCCATGATTAAGGCTATATACTAAAAACTATACATACAATTCACAATATCTTTTATATTACATATTTGTGATAGGTTTGATAATATATTAACTATACAATGAATACGAGTTTTATTAGTAAATTCAAATGTTATTCAATAATTTTACATTTAAATCTCGAGAACAAATAATATTTATTGTTATGGAAATGAATAAATAATCGGATGAAAATAGAATACAAATTGCTATTTATAGCTTATAAAGTTCTGATATCAAAAAAACGGTGATAAAATTTGTTAAAGATCAAACTTTTAAAGATTCAATATGCTTGAATAAATCTGAAGTATTTTTCCTTGAGAATTTCATGCAACGATTTACAAAAACAATCTATTTGTATTTGATTGACCCTGCTCATAGCATAGTTAAATACTAAAACATAGCTATTATTTAAAAACTAAGCTCTAACCTCTCTCGTATTTATTCTTGACCAAAGCCTTCTGTTTCTTCAATAGCATAATTTAGTTTTTCGACCATCTGGTCATAACTTTTGTAGGGGGGTAGATCTAATCTATTGAAACAGGTGTGAGACCTCGGTAACCAGGTGTCTTTGCCCACTTTTTCTATACAAAATCGTTGCGGTCCGTTGGAACCCATTAATTCGGCGAAACCTCCTACTGGAACCCGACAGGTTCCAGTAACAAATTGGAGCAAACGTGCCCGTTTTTCGTTATCTGTTTGACGTACGAACTAAAAACAAACAATAAGCTATTAATATTATTACATTCTAATTCAGTGTGTTTCAGTTTTATCATCAACAATAAGCTATATTAAATAATAAATCTATTTAGTCTTTATAATACACCTACCTGCCAAAACCATACAATTTGTTTACTGTTTCTTGTATAATGACGGTAAATAGTATTTCTTTGCCAATCGTCAACATCTATTTCCTGCATTCCACAGAGCATCAGTTCAAGTTCACGCTCATCAAAGTATTTGAGCCATTCTAATGGTACCACTTCACTAAATCCATCCAGGAAAGCCTTGGTTTGATCTTCTATACCTAGAAAATAGAGAATAAAAAACATAAGATATACTGAAAAATTCTTTCACTTAAATCAATAAAAATAAGTATAACTTACTTTACAATTTAATATGTATAATGCAATTAATTATTTAATGTGTAATTACCTCTGGTCATTCTCCATTCAGTCATAAGCCTTATATATTCTTCTTTATTTTCTTCAGTAACTCTAATTTTATCACCACTATCTTTTAGTTCATGATGTATAACTTGTCCCAAGACTTCAAAATCTACCCCGAAGAATAACTCTAATGCGCATTCGTCAATATTATTATCTTTTATCCAGATGAGAGAATTGTAAAACTCTGGATCAATAGATTCTATATCTTTCATGGTCAATTTTTTATTAAGCATTCGTTTATAAAAAGGCATTGTGAATCCCGAATAGATAAATCTTCCATGATATAGGGCCATCGCGATAAATCGACCGATAAATTTGAAATATAATAAATGGTCCGGGTTTACGTAACTTGCCGGGTTGATTTGTAAACTATAATTATTTTTATTCGCATATTCGAACAAACAGTACATAGGATTCAGTACTTCATGGGAAAGTAAGAAAAACCATTCTCTAGATACGCCACCATAGTCTAAACCTTCTTCACCGCGGAATATTATATACAATCGCCGACGAAGTTCATACGCAGGCAGCCGCATTATTTGGTGATAAGAATCTTCGAAAAGAGTTTGTCGAGTTAAAGTTATTTTTATATGAGATGGCAAAGCATTACTTTGACATAAAAAGCGAAACTGGGATAATTTCCAGCGGAATGAACGCTCATACGCCCGTGGAACACCGTAAACACCTTTCGGTCCTTTTGGAGCACCTGAAATAAAACGGAAAGTTTGACTAATTAAAACAAATTATACTTATACTATTATATATGAAACTTTTCTTTCGGAAAGTTAAAAATTGAATTATGAATTTGTAAATCTATAGCAAAATCCTACATAGCTTTAATTAAAACTGTTGTCAAACATATTTTCACAAACTGAAAACATTAACAACAAAAAAAACAGATTGCAAAATCATATAAGAAAATTAAAAAAAAATAGTAATACAGCAATTGATAGAAAACTTTATATGCGAACCGATATAATTAAAAAAAGTGAACAGCGAATTTCAATTATAAAAGTTTCCTCAAAAATATATAGTTTAACTACCTGGCCTTGGATCCTGGAATGTAGTAGTCCTAGTGTTGTGATCAACAAAGTATTGAACGCCATCTTCTGTATGTCTAATCTCCCATCCAGGAGGCAATGGAGGGTCATCTGGAGCACTCGATTCTTGACCTATTCACAATGAATATCATTTAATTAAAATTTATGATAATTATAAAAGAACCATATTCACATAATTATCTTCATTCTTTAATTGAATTTTAGATTGAAGTTTTTGTCAATTCACTATTTTATTCAGAAAAATGCAGTTTATATCAGATGCTTATACGTTGGAAGAAGTTTTCAAGCTATTAATTATTATACTCAAAAAAATAAATACTAGCCTTGTGTTCTAGGATCTTCCCATTGCGTAGTTCTGTTTTTATGATTAACAAAATATACACGTCCTTCTGGCTGGACACGTTTCTCCCATCCTGCAGGCAGAGGCCCTAGAGTATCAGAATCGTCTGGCACAGTTCCAGCCATTGCCATTGCTGCTGTGGTAGGCATTGAAACAGAAGGCGCGGTTATTAAGGGAGGTGAGCCAGATGATCCAGCAGCAGCACCAGATACACCGGGAGCGCCGGATGCCTATAATAAAAATATACTTTTAAAATGGAGAAACTAACTACATTGTAAATATAGACCAAACAAATTCACACAAGCCTATCACTTGGTACATAAAGATTTTTTTTTTTTAAGTAGCATCACTTTTCTATAAATCTTCATCTTTTATGAACAAGATTGTGTTCTTACCTGCGCTTGTGCAGGATAGAGAAACCTTTGATTCGCCTGTTGTGCCACATGTGCGCGTTCTCCTTGCCATTGTTGATAATGTTGTAATCGTTCCGGACTAGGCCTTTGCCATGTGGTGGATCGTGTATTGTGATCAACATAGTATACTCTCCCTCGGGGGTCTCGGCGGATCTCCCATCCAGCAGGAAGAGGCTGAGGGCGCTCCCAACTCGTTGAACGAGTGTTGTGATCAACATAATATCTAGAAATTATTTTTGTTTGAAGTAAAATATCATTTTTAGAGGCAACACCAAATTTCCAAAATGGCATAATTTAAAACTATATGCAAACAAAATTTTTACAAACCTTCTTCCATAAACATCATATCTCATTTCCCATCCTGAAGGCATTGTTTCTTCAACACCATTGCTAGCTGAAGTAGGATTCACACCTGGGGTTCCATTGGCGGTTCCTGCAGCAGTGCTGGTACTGACGGCATTTAATGCTCCATTTCCATTTGTCACAGGCGGCTCTGAGGCTCCATTTGTTAAGGGTGTTACATTAGGACCAACAAGTGGAGGATAACCCAAAGGAGGACCTGGAACTTGCTGCAAATGCACGGAAGAACGAGAAGATGTTGTCGGCATGGGCATAGGCATAGGCATCGCAACCGGCTGTAACAAAAATTATATTATATTTTGCCTCACAATGTTCACACACTTAATTTATACTTTTAGATCCAAAATAATGGCTAATGATCATATGTCTGTTTTTATTTGATTTATGAAATCAAAATTTCAAACAATAAGATTTTATACATATGTTTTAACATCAAAATTAGCTATTTTAGACATTAAACTAAATAAATACCTGTGCTTGAAGCATGCCCGAAATGCTACCTCTATGAGATAAAGCTTGAGACAATTGGTTATGCGAAGGAACTGCAATTGGATTCTCTGAACCTCTTAATCGCATTCTTGCATGGACGCCTTCATTCAAAACACTCCTATTTGATGTTGAATCTCGTACAAGAGTATATTAAAAAAAATCATTAAAAAAAGCTAAATAAAATATCAATTATTAGTTCATGCCAGCATATCTGTTTTAATTTGGAGTATACTCTAAATAAAAAAATCAAAATCAAAATCAAATGTTATGGAACTCTAGTTTTTATAAATAATTTTACCTGTTTGAATTTGTGACTGTAGCATTACGTATAGATTCAGGTACCACTATTGTGCTCAAGTCAACTCTTAGTCCATCGAATAATGTAACCAACTCTCCAACTTTGTTATGAGGGCTTATACTTTTAGAATCGGATAATAAATCTGTAAAAATAAATATTTTTTTATAATGAAAGAATAAAAATTTATGTTTAACAAACTTATATGTAATAAAAACATTAAAATAAATTGCACACTACATGATGTACCTTAAAATCGCATAGTACACTTTATTATACATTGTGAAATAGTGAGGTCAAGTATTTGAATTAAATATGCACTATATATAAAAAATGTAGTCTAAAAAAATATTTCGTTTAATCTCATTGATGGAAATTAATGTAGAAAACGGAAGGCTGCTTTAAAACTCGAAAAATAGTAATTAAGATTCAATTTTACTCAAAATTTCACATTAGCTAGTAATGATATTTCAAAAGAAAATTAACCATATCAGGGTTAGAAAACAAAACTAAATGAGTTTTGTAGACTTCATCAAAATTCATAATTTGTTATAGTTAAATTATTTAAATGTAATCATATCATATATAAATTTTAATGTGTAATGCACTGTGTTATCTCTCTTATCAATGGTGTGAGCATTTAAAAATCTATGTACTTGAGTTCGGAAAAGTCGTTATCTTTCGAAAACAATAAATCTATCTGGCTCATAATGGTATTAATAATTCATTCATGAATTTGTTTGATTTTAATTATTGAATCGAATTCAGAATTTCAAAATGCGCCAAAAATTGCACAAGAAATTTGGGTTTTATAGATTAGTAATTTTATTTAGTAAAACACCAGCCCATTATTTGGAGATTACAAAATTGTAATCAATTAAAATTATGATACTGGATTGGATTATTGGAAGTGTGCACAATAGCAGTTGCAAATTATTTCCTAGGTTGATCCTAAGAAAAATCACGTCAATTTACTATTCCTTACCCAAAGTAACTTCCAAATTGTCACATCTTCCATGATAATGGGTCAAAATCTGATACAAGTTGAGCCGTTTTTCTCCGATGACCGCGTCTTTCCGGAAGCTGTTGTGATCCAGTAGACGGAAGTGCAGATAAGAAGTGGGCGTGACCAAAACAGTGAATTCTTCGTTCCATTTCGGCTGATAAGTGTTCTTAACAACTTCTGTTTTGCGGGAATGCTTGTGATCGTCAACTGTAACCTCCACGTACGGGTTTGGTTTTAAAAAACTACCCGTACGGATATGAGCACATTCGACTGGAATAATAAAATTCGGAAAAATTATAATAATTTGAAGTAATTTATTTTAACAGTGTTTCAAAAATATTATGAAATATTTCATGGAGTACACGATCTAATGTTTTCCTAAGAAGCATCGCAATGTAAATAATTTTTTAAAGAACCTCGTATAAAAGCCAAAAGATGTACAATGGTATTAATAGCATTAAAGCTATTTCTGTTATCTTAGAATATAATTGTATATGTTAGTCGTCAAATCTATTCTATTATTTTATTATTGCTAATCAAATGCATAGAAAAAATTTGAATTATTTTAGCATGTTATTATATTATCTATCATTTATCAATTCAATAACTGAACAAACAAACAAGATCTTGTTTATAAATGTATATACAATATTTAAAAATTGACAATTTTCGAATGCAAAAATCTTTGTCTTAATAAAAGCATAGAAGAAATATAGGATTTTGTTATTGTTATATAATGGGTAGCAGTCAAACAAAAAATATTATTTTGTAGTACATGCGAAGTATCAGAGAAGACGCTGTATGTGAAAAAAGAAAAGGTGTTTTCCGCTTTTCTGTTGAAATCTTTCTTCAATTTTCTTTGCTATAAACCAAAATGCAAGGAGTCCGAGACCTTTCCAACGAATGCAAAATCGTCGAAATCGGTTCGTGCGTTCTGGAGTTATTTCGTCAGGAAGGAAAACCCGACTTATTTTTATATAATAGATATCCAAAATATGCTGTTGAAATAGCCGGGGATTGGGACCAGTTTTTCAAAATATCAATTCGGAAATTTTAATATGTACAATGAACGTGCATCGAGTTGTAACGGTTTTGCTCGAGGATTAATAATAAAGGCAACAAATATATGTTTCAAAAAAAAAATTATAGTTTAACAAGCTAAACAAAGTATAAAATATTTTGTCAATCAATGTTTAAGTTAACAATCCTGTATGAAATTCGTAACAAATGTAATCTTTTTTGTTAAATTATTAACAGCAATCAAAACTTAAAGAGCCCTATAAGCTAATGTGACGACTTATTATTATATATGACAACCCATTTTAAAAAGACAATAGGGTTGTCCTATCTCTTATTAATGGCATTAAATCTATTTCTGTTATTTTAGAATAAAATCGTGAATGATAGTCGTCACATCTATTCTATTATTTTATTATTACTAATAAAAATCGTATGTATGGCATGCAATGCATAGAAACAACATATTTAAATTATTTTAGCTTGTTATTATATTATCTATCATTAATCAATCCAATAACAAACAAACAAGATATTGTTTATAAATCTATCAACAATATTGCAAAATAACAAACATATTTATGAATTGACGCAGAATCTCACGTGAGTCACATTTTTATGAGTCAAAAACATTTTCTATTATTATTTAGCAAATAGTTAATATGTATAATCTGATGAAATAACGTAGTATAAGGTCTTATATACCATGCTTGTTATCTTGGGCATCTATAACACTATGCTACACATTAATAATAGAGTACCCAAGCCCAAAGGGCTTTGAGTTATGTCTGATTGGAAATCATTGGTAGAAGAAGTTTGATGTGATGGACATCTGATTATAGAGATCAAATCGTTTCGATAAATTAGTTTTATTAATAACATAAGATTTTGTTTAACTATTTATTAATGCTCTATGTCCCATTGCCCTTATTGTATTAATTAGACAAAGAAGAATTATACTTACTGGTAATGCATAGTTGATGAAATCCAGTCGTGATGGTAACAACGTTATTATCAGACATTATATCAGTACTGGCCAGGTCTCAATATGCAGGGTCATAGTTCATGGTGTCGGACGTCGAGGGGCTGAAGATGATATATCGTTGAAAATGAATTGTTGTTTTGAGTGCCTATTTAGAACAGGGATATATTTTTATTTTAATATTTAATAAATATATAAGTACAAAAATATATAATATTAATATGCAAAAAAAAACTTTATTTGGATTATGTTAATTAAATGATTATTAAAATTAGATGAAAATGGATTGATCACTGAACAAACCTCAAAAACGAAATGCAAGTTAGATCAACAATTACAAGTCGATTCCTAGTAATTGTGATTCACATTCAATGTTTGAATATTGCGTTTATTATTGTTTCCATTCAACAACTCATTGTTATCTGCATTATAATATTTGCATTCGTAATTATTGAAATTTGTATGGCATTGTGCCTTCTTAAGACAAATTGCTATAACTTTCCGTTTTAAAAGCAAGTATTAGAAGAACAAATAAATTAAAATTTAGATAAAAATAGCACAAAACTTTAAAACGACACCAATAGTGATTATAAAGAAAACTTTTGAAAACAGAAAATGTTTGAAAGCAAAATAATAATAACAGATAAATAATTGCGGATTTTGTGGTAAAACATTAGGTAAGAATAATATAACTATTTGAATGGCTTCAACGACTTATCGCAACAATTACGAAACTAACTTGTTCTGAATAAGGAATTATAAAAAAAAAAAATATTTTTTTAACCGGTATATTTGAAAAAAAAACATGTGTATAATTATAAAAGAATATATAATAAATTTGTGATAGAACTTTTTTTAAATATCAATATATTAATTGAAGCAAATATTAATAGTCCAGTCATTTAAGCTTAAATTAGGTAAGAATCTCGGAATTCGAGATACCCAGCTGTAAGCCTGTAAATACTTGTATATTGACACCCTAAAGTTGTCTCAAAACCTACATATGGTATTGACACCCTACCATATGTAGGTTTTGAGACAAATTTAGGGTGTCAATACATTTACAAGTATTTACAGACTTACAGCTGGGTATCTCAAATTCGAGGTGAACTTATACTATAATGACTGGACTATAAGAGCAAAATTTAGCATTTAATGAATAATTGTTAATTAAATTAAGTGTTAATGTAACTACAAAATGCATGCGCAATAATATAAATTAAATCAACTACAAGTATTGTATATATATATATATATATATATATATATATATATATATATTATGAAAATAAGTATAAATTTCTAATAAAAGTATGTCATGGCTTTGACTGCTTCATTAGCCATTGTGTTAAATGCTATGAAAATTACTGAGGTATAGATTGTGCATGATGGTGTAAAACTAAAATTTCCTAATTTATTAAAAGTAGTAATAGCTTATTTGGAAAAGAATTATGTGCCTTTTCCACATGAGATTTTCATTTGTTCAACCAACCTCGAATGCTTTGATAAAGTCTAATTATGCAACAGTAACAGTTTTTAGTTGGTGATTTTTTTTTATTATTATTTGAACAGCAATCAGAACCTAATAGTTCTATAAGCTGTTGTGCTGATTTTGACTTAATACTAGTCTGTTTGACAGATAGCAACCAAATCAGTTATCACATCTCTATATGATATATTATTATTACAATTTCTGTAATAGGGCGAGTATTTTTATTGGTGCACCAATGCCGGGTGAGGGCTATTTTCACTTGGAAACATATTGCTATCTATATTTCCAAGTGAAAATCGTTGTCACTGCTCGAAGGCTGCTCGAAGAGGGTATCGAACCCGGGACCTCTGAAACAAGTCCCGTCGCTCTCAACCGTTTACTTACGGGCGAGCCCTGGTGAGCTTTTAAATGCGGAAATGTAAAAATGGTACAAAAACCAAAAACCAGAAGAAAAAATTATTAACCGGCATAAGAGAAAAGGTCAGGTCCAATGAGACCAGTTTTTCAAAGTCATGTCAATTTCATTGTGGAAGATGTACCATCGAGTTTTTAAGCCATCGGTTTTGCTTATCATAGGATTTGCGGATCGGGAGAGTAAAATTATATTCCTAAGACTTTAGAAGCAAATAAAAAAAGACAATAAAATAGAAAGCTTGAAAATAACAACTTCTGTGCTTTTATTACTATCAAAACAATCCTGCTATCACAAGTACGACTCTCAAACTGCATCATAAAGAAAACTACACTTTCTAAAATGAACCGATACACAAGCCAGATATATTTTAATAATTCATACTGTATGAACAAATAACATCAAAACCCATCAGTAATTTTAAATTTTTAAACATACCAAATTCATGAGATACAGATAACATTATAATATTTCTGCAAGATTAAGAAACTGAGATCAGCCGAGCAGAGAAAGTGGTACAGTTTTGAAGTTTCTGAAAAATCATGAGTGCGTGTACTTCGTGTGTTATTGTATAGAATATAATTCTTCAAGCATAAAATAACAAACAATTTATGTCACTTTCCACACTTATATTGTTTAATTGCATAGTTGTTGCAATAAGAGATATTTAAAATACATATAATGTATCTTATACTACGATTGCTAGCAATATTACTCGAAGTGAGAAATCATCTACAGAATAGCGTTCTAAACTTCGTATCTAGAACAGTTGATAGATATTTTCGAATGCGAAAATCTTTGTCTTAATAAAAGCTTAGAAAAAATATAGGATTTTGTTATTGTTATATAGATAATATCTAAAATATGCTGTTGAAATAGCCGGGTATTAGAACCAGTTTTTCATTATATCAATTCAGAAATTTTAATGTGTAAAATGTAAGTGCATCAAGTTGTAACGGTTTTGCTCGAGGATTAATAGTAAAAATTGCTGGAATTTTCCGTACCGTAACGATATGTTCGAGGAATATTAAATGATTTCAAATAGATTATTAAAAATACTGTAACAAATTTAATATTTGTAAGAATTATATAAACTGAATTGCAAAGTTAAAATTATATATTCAAAGTATATAAAGTGAGCTTTAGAACTGTAGTCAGAATTAAAATTAAAAACTGAATTATTTTCGATATGCAAAGCCCTATAAGCTAATATTACAACTTCTTAATAACGTAGCTTTACATATGATAACCCAAGAACAAGACAAGGTTGTCCTATCTCTATTTGATATATTTATTATTTTTTTAAATTCTAATGCATATGACTTTTTATTAATGCTGCAATGTCGGTTATTTTTAATTGCAAAACATATTTTCATCTATATTTTCAAGCAAAAACGTTGTTAGATCAAGGTGTTCAATATGGGAATCTAATTAAAACCTTCTGAATTTATAGAATTAATCAGTTCGCAAAAATAGACGTGAATATAAAATGTGAATTATATAAAATTCAATCGATAATCATAGATCATTGATTCTTCATATGCCAATTTCATAATATTGCCACACTCATAATATTTATCTCTATAATCAATAACACAATTGAAAATCAATTTGAAAGTTATATAATATCAACAGTAGAGCAAACCACAAGCACATTGTGACTATCAGTTCTCTTGTTCTTAGAATTTTGCAATGAGAAAAATTAAATATATATAACATATATTATTAACTGCATATCTTATATTGTTCATAAATATAATATCAATATAAAGTACAATTAATAGAATTTAAAAAAAAAATTCAATATTGTTCCTGAATTTGCAATAGATCTAATAAATACATCTACTGCAAGTATTGAGCAAACATGTTTTTTTAGATTTACACCCGAACATAATAGCATTCTTTTACATATTCCCTAAGCAACGTTTATTAAATATTCAACGATCGGATACTATTTATTTTACATGTATTGATCATATAATGATATCCAACGGCTCATTGAACGAAAGCGTTTGTCAACTTGAAAACGAAATATCAATTTTAGTAAGAAGGTCAATGATGCATATCTAACTTTATATTATCACAACAAGTTGAAATTATAACGTATAATTCAAAATTATAATAATTATAATTAAAAAATTCAAACAAATTCAAAATTCTATTCCGTTCAAATTGAAATTTTTCGTAAAGCATTTTTTGCCTTTGCTAGTCACATATATTATTTTCATTTTATATCCCACTCCAATCAACGTTTCGCATGGATAATTTATCATATTTATATCAAACAGATGATATTTTACATACATAAAACTTCCATTTAATAAATATTTTGACTTTATTTTTTCACAGTAAATTACCAAAATGTTAATAAAATGCAATTGTAAACAGATCTGTAATATATCAAAAGCAGAACGCTGGTATTGTGCCCTATATATCTCAAAAGCGATTCCTTCATATCTCAAATGAAGCTGTTCAAAATACCTTTATGCAAAATAACTAATTTTTTAACTTCCCGTATGGTAAGTTATAGTAATAGCAAATAAATCGAAAATGAACATTTTTATATATCTTTACGTTTCAAAGGTTCCTAAATATTTCGGCATACCTTAGAATAAAATGATGTGTGTGTATGTACGGATATGAATTTTCTTCGGCGATTTCGGGAACACTGATCAAGCGATTTGAATAATTCAAAACACATTCGATTCGTATTGCTAAGGAGACGTGCTGATTAGTTTTTGGCGAAAGCAGGTCTAGCCGTTCGGAAGATACGGGGCAAGAAGTGCCAAAAACGGTAACTCAGTTTTTAAGAGAATAGAGCATCCGATTTTAATAATTCAAAAAAACATTTTACTTGTATTGACAAGCTGAAGAACTGATTAAATTTTTGGGAAGGCAGGTCCAACGGGTATGGACTCTCAAAAAAATAAGTTAAAAAATGTAATTGGGCGGTCAAAAATGTTTATTGAATATATGTACATCAAATTATCAGGTATTTTATAGAGATTTTAATAATGTGTACACATTTTGTGTAATTTTTTTTGGATTCCGTACCAAGATTTTTAATTACGGTACGGGAAGTTCCAGCAATTTGCCTTAAGACACGATGCCATGCACCTCACTAATATTTTGAACAGCGATCAGATCTCAAGAGTTCTAAAAGCCGTTGTGTGGATTTGACTTAGTACTAGTCGACTCTACAGATTGCAACCCAAACAGTTGTCCCATATCTGTGTGGAATTATTATTACAATATCTGTAATAGGACGATTATTGGTCAATGCAGGCAAGGGCTATTTTCACCAGGAAATATTTATACCTATATGTCCAAGTAAAAACCGTTGTCACTACAACTTGAGAACAAACCCAGGACAGTTCTCAATCTCAAATAAATAGATCAAAAAGCAGTATTCAAAGCTGTATACGAAAAAGTTCAGGAAAAATAGCACAGGTGGATCCTGAATAACTAGTATCTAGTTACTACTAGATGGAAAAAAAGGTAAAGGTTCGATTGATCCAATATCGACAACATAAAATTCAGGTGAGGTGATCAGCAAGGCTAATGCAGTAACCGATATGGAGGCTGACTAGCTAACGAAGCATTGAAAAACACTTGAAATTTTTCATTGGGAGAAAGATGAATGTTTGGATTATTATGGAAAACTAAAGTTCAACAACACGATCCTTGATTGAGAAAGCTAAGACCATGTCTTGACAAAGAAAAATGAAAATGCTCCACGTAATTAATTTATAACAAATAATTGTGGCAAAGTTTCTAAAAACTATACAAAAATGCAGTAAAATGGTTAAATTTATTTATATTAGTGCAATATATTAGTACATTACACCAGATTGAGCTGGTTGTTTTGATTATTTTACTGGAGTATAATGTGATAATTAATCAAATTACAAAATGCGGTTGTGTAACTGCCAAGATATTTGGGGAGGCATGCAATTATTATTGGCTTTAATAATATTGATAGTTTTTAAACGGTATATCAAAGTGTATTACAGAAAAGGAAATAATTTGATAATTTGATAATAAAATACTAGTAATTTACTTTTAGTATGAGAAATTACTTCAAAAAAGATAATAATGTGAATAGTGTTTTAAGATAAAACTGTCACTATCAAATGCGACAAATTGTATTAAAAAACAATTCAAATTTAGAATATATTAAGATATCTCGCATTTATACGAAAACACTGATAATCTATAACTTTGCGATTATAAATAATTATGAATCAATAATTGCCAAATAATGTACCTAAAAGCAATCATATACAAGTAATCACTATAACGTCAAATGATAAAAAAAAAATTATATTGATATTCATATGGAAGACAAAATAAATTTGCTTTACAGAATAATGATATCATATAAAAAAATTTAAATTTTGTTTCTTGCATAGAATATATTTTATTAATTATCATACTCTATCGATAAAATTAATATTTTTATCAAACCAAAAATATGTGAATTAGAATAAGAAAGCATTTGTAGAAAATTGTTGTAAATTAAATTTCATTATTCGTTTTAATTAACATTTTGGCTATCATTCTGAGAATAGATTATACTCATACAGCAGGACAAATGTGTTATTATAATTTACAATGAAAGCAGAAAAATGAAAGAAATATTAATTTTAATAAAATTGCAATTGTAAAACACTTACGTCAAAAATGTAACACACATATTTATCGAATGTCAATCATTTTGAGCTGCATGAAGTTTAATACACAATAACACATTATTCTATAGGCTTACATTATTAAAGAAGTTACGATTTTTTTTCACTTTTATTTTTATAGGGAAAAACTCAACAAAAAACAATAAATTTAATCTTTCTGACTTATAATTCACTATTATCACGAAGACGTCATGGCCACTGCCATGAAGTTGCATGAATTTTGCAAGGGCACATGATTAAATAAGAAGAGCCAACATTGAAGTATGCCTGGAATAATTTAAATATAAGACATTTGAAACTTTTGTGAAAACGTTTATAAATAAATAAGTTCTCTTAAAATCAAAGAACATTAGGAAATAGTCACATTAGTGCTAAATATATCATGTTCGTATTTGTTCAATTTCAACTGAGGTTTTTGAAATACTCGTGCACTCTAATTAATTTGTGTTTTAATTAAATTTCTAATTGAATTTGATTAATTTATGCATTATATTGTGGAATTTGGTGTTAAGAATACATAATTAGTTATTAATTTTGTTAGTTAGCCTGAATTTAATTTGAATTTCGCGCTTTTGACGTCAGGTCACTTTGCTCATGGTGACAGCACTGACATTATGTCAATGACAGTGACAGTTGAAGTGTAATGGAGGTTTTTGTAAAATAGGCATGCACGCTAATTAATTCGTGTTTTTGATTAAATTCCCAAATAGATTTAATTAATTTATGCATCACATTGTTCTAATAGTTATGCTCATCAATTGGATATGTTTTTAGAACAGATATGTGCGGAAGTCCTATGATAATTCTCTCTTTAATTCTAATCAATTTTATAATTAAATGCTTTATTCACAGATTCCAATGTATCCTTTATATATAATCATATATGCAATTGTCAAATATATATATATTAATTTGGAAATATGAACAAACAACACTCTTTTTTGCACTGATTTATTAAATAATAATTTTACAAACGTTTCGAGATTAGGTTTGTCTCATTATCAGTGTGTTATAATTTAAAATCTAAAATATGGAAACCTAAATTAGCATTATGTGTTATCTGTTACAAGTTGTTCAATATACATATTATGAAATGACAATGTATGTATATGACAATAGTATATTGAACGACTTGTAACAATTTTATAGTTAAACAATTTATTTACAGCGTCAATGTATCCTTTATTTATATATATGCCATTATAAAATGTACCATTTATATATGTGCTTTTGTAGGTTGTACTTTATCACTTCCAACTCATATCTGTTATTATCGATTTCTAAATTCACAAAAGTCTCTAACATAAGTCGTGTGTTGTGTATTGTGTAAAGACTTTACTTGGACAATTGCAATATGTCATGTAAAAGGCAAAGTTATGTAGTGGTTTTAAAGTAGTGAGTTTGTATCGAGTACTTGAGATTTCTGGCAGTTGCTCCAGAGGTGGTTCGAGTAATGACTATGTGGGAGCTGCTGTAGAGGATATCTAACGATGTAAGTGCAAAGCATGTTTTATACAAAGCGAGTCAAAGAATATATTTCTGATATATACAGGCATTTATCGTATTACATCTTATGCACTTATAATATTTTAAATATTCAATATATATATATATAAATAAATAATAAATACAAATAAATAAATAAATATATATATATATATATATATATATATATATATGATTTAGTTGTTGATTTTGATTCTTGTGGGGCGATACATCAAAGAATAAAAAGCAAAGATTTATAAATTAATCTTTAATTCCAAAGGTTTCGACATTCAATTTAATGTCACATAAGCCTCGGAACTTGCAAAGTACAGAAGTCGTGGCAGAAATTACCTAACGTTACTCACATTTTTGTTCAAATAAAATTATCATTTGTCTTTTTACATCATACAAAAAATTATAAAAAATACATGGTGTTGACAAGTTAGTTAGTTAGTTATAAATGTTAGTGCTAATTTCTAGTGTTGTGTACACTCTCTAGATGTAACCTACCAACGTTAATATCCACTGATGATGACATTAAATTGAATGTCGAAACGTTTGGAATTAAAGATTAATTTATAAATCTTTGCTTTTTATTCTTTGATGTATCGCCCCACAAGAACTTACTCATATATATATATATATATATATATATATATATATATATATATATATATATTCATTAAGTTTTTCTTAATTTTGAATTTGAAGCAGTCAAATAATTTTGAAAATCTTTACTTCAACACAATATTGTTTATCATCTTAAGTGAACTAACGACGAAATAAATAAATAGATACCACTTAAAACTTATTTTCTTAATGACGTTTACAATTACTGACTACATGTATTACATGCTACTTTTTATGCTTGTAATAATAATTTTTCTCAATAATAATATATTTTATGCTCGTTTTTCATATTGAATGAAATTAATTGAAAAGTGCATTGAGAACTTGTCCCTTTGTTATCCGATATCATTTATAAAGCGGTCTGTATATACTTTACTGGAATATTTTATGGCTCGTGCATTATTATTGTAGTTACATACTTATATCTGCTGAAAATATTGTTTATATTATAATATTTGAGTCATCATAGTTTTTTTAAACATGTATACTTTATTAATCTTTAATACATAAAATACAATTTTTTTTTTGTTTATTCAACTACAACTATTATGCCAATAAAAGATTTTAAATTAATATGGCAGACATATGTGTGAAAACTATGTTTTTATTTAATTTATTGTGGGGAAAACATTTTGATTCAGTTTCTTTTTCATTTGTTTATATATGTGCCTTTTATACATGTTCTAAATCAATATAAATTGTACATCTCATATGTATCAAAGACATTGAAAGTAATTTATATTATTACAATTCCATAAATAGTCAATCTGAAATTCTTTTGTTCTATAATAACACGATGAGCTGTTTTTGTGTGGAATTCAGAATTATTGTTTATATTAAATATTTGTTACCAAATTATTAGTTAACCAATACAGCTTTTTGTATGCATTGAATACTTGTTTGTTGATGGGGCCCTAGCACCCCTCCTTAGGTAACTCCTAAATTGATGGTATTTTGTTACAAATTACAAATTTACTTTGTTACAAAAATCTCTTTCTTATAACACTTTTTGTTCATTATTCTACCGAAACGGTAATTTTTTAAATTACATTTCTAGGATCAAGAATCATGTGTTTTCCCTGTAGCGATATTGACTGCATGTACATTCTTATTTATGATTGTTGGTTTTGATCAAATTATTTCAAATACTCAATAAGACTTACCAAATTGTTAATTAAATGCAGCTTTTAAAAGTCTTTCACTGTAATTTTATTTTAAATTTATTCAATTATATTGCTGCATAGCTAAATGATAGATTTTTATTCTTTTATTACTAAAAACAATTTTGATCAAGACATGCAATCAAAGTTTTAAAGAGTTGACTTGAATGATTAGACAAAACATAATTTTGTTTACAAGTTTATTATTCGATTCAAGTTGTAAAAATTATTTAACTCGATTCTAAAGGATAACAATGAGCTTTTAACATTTTTGAGTTTTTTAATTTTGAAGTTCATTTTTTAATAATTCATTTTATAAGTTTTGTTGAATTTCTTTTATAGCTTTTTCCAATAATTTGTTTATTATTCAAGTCAACTACATTTGTTTCTGTCTCGATTGATTGTAAAGGTTTCACATGTTTTATCAAGTCATATAAACAATTTTGATTCGATTAATATCATCTCGAATAATTTTTTTTCTTCTAAGTCCATATTTTCTGATTCTGATTAGATTATAATTTTTTGAATGATTTTTTTTTTTTTAAGTCCTTTCAGATATTTTTTTTTCTAATTCCAAATTTTCTGATTATAATTCTTTCGAATAATTTTTTTTTAGGCTCTTCACCTCCCCCTTCCTCCTCCTCCTCCTCCTCTCTCCCTTTTTTTTCCCTTTTTTCCGCTTTTTTTCACATTTTTTTTCCTTTTTTGGTATTTTTTTCGCATGTTGTGGTTGTTCTTGGGTAGATTTTTGGGCTCGGCATGCATCTTCCGCAATGTGTCTCACTGCGTGTAACCTCTCTCATCATGAGACCTCAGGTTGACCATCACTTGGTGTGTTCGTTTCAGGACCCTTTGCGCTCGCCAACAGCCGGTCACCAGCACTGCTCCATTTTTTCTGCTTCAGAGTTAGTCGTCGTTGCCTTCACCTGGACTCGATCCGCATCACCTTGTGCCTCTAGAGTGATTTCACCGAGTATGCAGTCACTTAAACCGCTCGGCTATTTAAGTTATTGATGATAAAAGTTATTTTTATTCCTATATTGTATTAATATTGAATTTTAATAAAGAATATGTATCATACACATCTCTCTTATTCATCATCTGCCTGTACCCCTCTCTTTCCCCAGTTGTTCCACTACCTTTTTTTTTTTCTCTTTATGTATCTCTCTTACAACAGTCAAGTGCGAAACTTGAGTTTTTTGTTTTTCAGAAATTTACTAAGTGTCAAGGTCGAAATGCGACACCTGAATTTAATATTTTGAACTAATATTTTTTAATTATGAAAAACTACACATTCGATTTTTCAAGCATCTTTGGGATTTGAACCGAGAAACAATGAGCAACCGTAGTGGTCACTTAACGATCTCGGCCAATTGGTTATACAGAACTGTTTTCTATTTGTAAAATATAAAGTCTTATTTCAGAAATGAAAGATATAAGTTTCCTAAAAATGTAGTGTTCCAAGTGTGCGAATGGCCGAGGTTGTTAAGTCACGTTTTATAACAAAATATCGATTCGAGGTTCGCCAGTTCGAACCCCATTTAACTGAAAAAAATATTTGAAACAAATAGTTTTTTCAAACTGTGTAAATAAATAAGACATATAGATCAATAATTAAATTTATTGAGTGCCAGTATTACAAAAATCTACATAATATATATATATATATATATATAAATATAAATGTATGTGTGTATATATATATATATATATATATATATATATATATATACATACATAAATATATAAAAGATAAGAAACAGTAGGAGGAGAATAATTTTTAATAAATTCATATTCACGCCTGGTTAGCAGTAAACCAAACCTACTTTGGTGTAATTTAAAAATCTTATTATTTTTCCGATAAAAAAACAGTCTATCAGGAGCAGCCAAAATTGGTCAAAATCGTGACTTTCAAAT